CCACCCCACCCCCACCCCAAACACACACACACACACACACACACACACACACACACACAGCCTGCGCCTCTGTGAGAACCAGAGACACGGGAAGGTGAGGGCTCAGGTCGGGCCCTCCCCTGAGGTGTCCACCTCCTTGGGGATTTTTCTGGCCCTGGCTTAGCTCCTGGGGTGAGAGCCCAGTCCTGGGGATACCCTTGACCAGGAGAGGAGCTCCTGGTCCTTGGTTCAGCCCATCTAGGGGAGTTTTGTTTCCAGGATGGGTAGATATTCCTGTCCCAGAGTGACCCCACATCTGGAGGGAACTCCAGTGCCTGCCTGAGGGAAAATCGGGACTTCCCTCTCTCCCTTAAGTGACTGTCTGGGGTCTCCCTAGGCCTGGGGAGCTTCCCTGGGAGAGCATTCCCTTGGCCTGAGCTAACCCTTAGGTCTCTGTATCTGGAGGAACCCTATCCTGGGTGTGTTCCTGGGCCAGCCACCTCGAGGCTTGCATAGGAGGGAAGGCTTTTACTCCCAGACCAGTGACCTCTGGAAATGAAGATTTGGGATGGATACCGTTGGAAGGGCCCCATATGTGCTGTCATCCCAGGACAATGACAGATTCTCCTCTCTTCCCTCTCCCCCCAGGATCCCCCTGGCAAGGATGGAACTGAAGGCTGAAGAGGAGGAGGTGGGTGGCGTCCAGCCAGTCAGCATCCAGGCCTTTGCCAGCAGCTCCACCCTGCACGGCCTGGCCCACATCTTCTCCTACGAGCGGCTGTCTCTGAAGCGGGCACTGTGGGCCCTGTGCTTCCTGGGCTCACTGGCTGTGCTGCTGTGTGTGTGCACCGAGCGTGTGCAGTACTACTTCCACTACCACCACGTCACCAAGCTCGACGAGGTGGCTGCCTCCCAGCTCACCTTCCCTGCCGTCACGCTGTGCAACCTCAACGAGTTCCGCTTTAGCCAAGTCTCCAAGAATGACCTGTACCATGCTGGGGAGCTGCTGGCCCTGCTCAACAACAGGTGGGCAGCACCCGCCCACCCCTCAGTCCTGCTGCTGAGGTTGCAGGAGTGCCAGTCAGGGCAGTTGCCTTCCTAATCTACCACAGAACTGCCAACTCTGCCCTCTAGCCACCCCCAAACGTGCTACTCACAGCAGAGGAAATAGGGTACTACTGAGACCCCAGTGAAGGGCACCCAACCTCTGATCCCAGCACAGTCCCAAACAGCCCTCTACCCCTACCTTGCCTGAGCTTGAGACAGTGGCACCCTTTGTGGAGTGAGCTTTGTCCTCCCTTTGGCCACTACGTCCTTGAGGTGTGGGGACAGAGCACCTTTAGAAGGTAGAGACTTTGTAAAAGCCACAGCCTCTGCCTTATCTGTGCTTCTCTCTCACTGCTGTGCTGAGATCCCCAGGCCTGGGAGCCACTGCAGATCCTTATGTCTTCCCAGACTCCATGTGGCAGGTCCTCTGGACCAGCCCAGCTCTCCTCCCTTGCCTGTCTGTGCCCAGCCTGATCCCAGGGCTGGATGCTGCCCTCTGCCAAGGAGGTTATGGGGCACTGGTGGTCATGCTGATCCATGTGCCACTCACCCCGGGCTCCAGGTATGAGATACCAGACACGCAGATGGCCGATGAAAAGCAGCTGGAGATATTGCAGGACAAGGCCAACTTCCGAAGCTTCAAGCCCAAGCCCTTCAACATGCGTGAATTCTATGACCGTGCGGGACACGACATTCGAGACATGCTGCTCTCCTGTCACTTCCGGGGAGAGGTCTGCAGTGCCGAAGACTTCAAGGTGGTGAGTGAATCTCCTGGTGTGAGGCGTGTGGAGGAGACAGGGAGCAAGCCAGGCCTTAGGGTGCCCGCCTGTGGGGGAGAGGGAGTTATGTGTCTTGGGGGCTGCTTCTGGTAGGAGGGGACTTTGCTCAGCAGAGGGGCACACTGCGCTGCAGGAGGACGTAAGCCTCAGCCTTACATCCATGGTGGCACAAGAGAACGTTCAGTGCACACCACACGCACACCACACATGCACACACTTGTGTATGCATGCACACGAGTGGCTTGGCATGGCCCCACAGCCCAAGTTTACTTTCTGGGCCACAGGTATCAGGGATGGGAATGGTGGCAGGTGAGCTACAACTTTGTTACTTAAAATGAGGCCTGGCGAATTTCACCTGGGAGCTTGAAAGAAATGTAGGATTTTGCTATTCGACTTCCCAGACCTACTGAATCAGGGTCTGCATCTAGTAAGATGCTCAGGTGACGTGAGTGTGCATTAAAGTTTGACAAGCAGCATGGAACATGGGCAGAAAGGGAAGCTTCCCCTGAAACAGCTAGACAGCCAGTTCTCTCCGTGTCATCCTCACCCCTTATACACACATACACACTTGCACACACACACACGCACATGTGTGTGCACACGCTGTCATGTTAGGTTCCCCCCCTTACCAGGAAGAATCACAAAGTCAAGGGCAGAGGTGACCAGATGTAGTCATGGCTGAACTGAGGCTCCCTTTGCTTCTGAAAATGGAGATGCTTTACAAACACACTGCAGCTCGAGTGTGGTGGCTTCAGACCAACACCTCAGAGGCGAGGGAACTGACTTTGTCATTTGGTGCGCTAAGTGGTCCTGAGAAAGTCCCACAGGCTCTTCGGGGTTAAGAACTACACAGAGAAGCTGGGCACAGTGGTATATACCTGTAGTCCCAGCTACTCAGGAGGCTGAGGCAGGAAGATCATTTGAGCTTAGGGGGTTGAGGCCAACCTGGGCAAAACTCGATTTCAAAATAAACAAAAACTGTAGAGGCTAGAAAGACACCAAAGGACCTGGAGCCGTGTGTGAACAACCATAACCCCAAGTGGGAGGAGGATGTTTGTAACTCTTTAGAACGGTTGCTAGGCTCTATCTGTCCCTTTGATAAATAATCATATTATCTCTATTTGGCAAGTGCACAGACTGAGACACGAGAAGGTAGAATTGTTTGCTTAAGCTCACTAGCTGGTTAATGGCAGGTTCAAGATTAGAACTCATGTCTCATTAAGTCCCAGTGCAGTATGTTCTTTTCATTAGCACCGCTGACCCAGAGTTCTGTGTCTTTCAATTCTGGCATTGCCCTTTCAAAACCCAGGACCCCCTGCTCTTGCACTCTTAAATTTCCACTCTTAAATCCTCCCTTTTCTCCTGCCCATTTTCACTTTACTTGCTTCCTCCTAGCATCAGGGGAGCATAGGCTGCATTTTTTATGTAGAAAGGGTAGGGCAGTGGTCATGATTAATGTTCCTGCTAGGGTTACACAGGACTTCCCAATCTCTTAAATCCTGTTCTGCAGACGAATTTCGTAGGTTGTTGTCAATCCTGCTGGATGAGGTTATATGACTACACTCCTTTCTGAGCCAAGTTGATGGGAGCTTAGCCTGGGTGCAAGAACTATTTCCTTCTCTCTTTTCCTTCTTCACAATAGAAGAGTCCTAGATTCCCCAGCTTGAGACCAGGGGGTTCCCAGGCTCACAAACTATGTTCCCAAGAGAAGCAGAACTGCGAGACAGAAGCCAAAGCCAGGGCCTTCCCTCCTCAACATATGCAACACACAAGCAGGAGGGACCTCCAGGAAAGCAAGAGAAAACCTATTAGCTCGATGGTTTGTAGGGCTGGATGTGGGAGGAAGAGCTTCGCTCAACCTGGGAAGGTGCTGAGGTGTAAAGCTGGGACAAAGTTAGTCCACAGAAAGTGTTTAATTGAGGAGCCATGTGTCCCGCGTGTCCAGAAAGATTCTAAGAGGTGGTGCCGGGACACGTTTGGCTCACGGAAACACTGAAAGGGATTGCATGGTGCTGTCCAACTGCAGGGACACTTCCAAACTGTCAGGTGGAGATACGACGGCATCACAGTTCTGGAGCAATCTGTTATTTCTCTTGCCAGGGGGTTGGGGGAGACACACAGGCTAACATCCTTCTTGATTCTGAGTTGTCAGGAAGACCAAGTTTTTCTGTTTCTCAGCCTGTATCAAATACCTGACCCTCAATCTGGCTGGTCCCAAACTCTCAGCTCCTCTCTGTACCTTCTCTGGCACCTCACTGTCACCCACTTTCCATGTGAAGACCCCTACCGCTTCTGTCCGTAGGGAGGCTCCTACACATGCGGGAGTCAGGGTGAGCTCTTGTCCGACAGCTCCCTGGTGAAGGGCCTGGGGTGCTTAGGGGCTCTCATGCTCCTCCTTGTGCTCCACCCTCTCTCCTTTCCTGGGTCTTCTAATGAACTCTATCTCCTCATTCTTGCCATTCTCAGCTCGGCCCCGAGGTACGTTGGGGATGTGGATGTGGATCTAGCCCCTGAACAAATGTGTCACAAAGCATCTGTCCACAGGGTCAGAGCTTAGGAGAGAGTATCCTGGCACCTCCTGCAGTCCCAAGAGCAGGTTTTAATTGGGGGCACAAGCACTCATGAGCAGTGTGGACTCTCCTGTGTGTTTTCCCAGGGCAATGCATCCAAATAATAAGAACCTTGTCCCAAGCCAGGTGTAGGGGTGCACACATATAACCCCAGAACTCTGGAAGGCTGAAGTAGGAGGACTGCAGGTTCCGGCCCAGCTTGGGCAACTTAATGACTTAGCAAGACCCTGTCTCAAAATTTAAAAACATACTAAGGCTGGAGATGTAGCTCAGTGAAAAGATCTTGGGTTTAATCCTCAGTACCGGAAAAGAAAAAAAAAAGGAGAAGAAAAGAAGAACTCTGTTCCTGAAGGCCATTTCAGAAGGCAGCTCGATCCCCAAAGGCCCCAGACCCCTTATAGGGATCTTCAGTGGCAGGCATTCCCTCAGATGTGCTTGTGAACCCAGCTCAACCTCAGAGAGTAGGCTGCTGGTCACAGCGTGTTAGACCAGGGCCCATTCCCCAGATGTGGGAGTCAATGTGGGGAACTAAATCTAGGAGAAAATGGCTTGGAAATTCTTTGGGACTGAGGAGCAAAAGGGCAGTGGAGGAGTATCCAGCTGGGGATACCTCAGTAGCTTCCCCCGTGAGCTGTCTAAAGAGGAAGGAGGACTCAACCACAAGGCCTCCTCTTTCCTGGCCACCTCCTTTCCTTCCTGGTGAGGTGCTTTGTTGCTAAGGCAACAGAGTGTGAGGCCCCTCTCTGCCCCACCTTGACGCCAGCCAGGCCAAGGCAGGGCAGGGGTTCATGGAGGGAGGCCAAGGGTGCAGCTGTCTGCTGGTGTCTGGGTGGGGGCCACGGAGTGAGCAGTCGCAGCTGGTGCCAGCCTCCAGCTGCACCTTATCTGTCCCTGGCAGTGGGAGCTGCAGTGTGCCTGGAATGCTGAGCAGCACCGAGGGGGGCGGCAGATGGTGGCCCAGTCTGCCTTATGCCCCCCCCCATGCAGCTGAGACCTGGAGCCTTTGCCTGGGGAAGAGAGAAGCAGGAATTCATATCTGGATCTGGGAAGAGAAGGAAGAAGATGGTAGTGGAAATTCTGAGGGCAGAGGTGTGGTGGGGAAAGAAATCTCAGGAGGAGGCAGAATCGGAATCTTTGAGGGGGACAGGAATCTATGGGGGTCCCATCCTAGAGTGGGGACAGGACTCACCCAGAGCAGAGGTAGAGTGAAGGGGTGGGCTCACAATGCCCCCAAGGTTTTGAATCTCTGAAGTGCCTAGGGAGGGGAGGTGGTGACAGGAGAGGCAATAAGGGTGAGTGATCCTGGGACCCAGAAGGGAGACAGAGAGGTCACCTTAAAGTAATCAGAGTCAAGGTTGGTAAGGCCCAGGGCTCTGCTCCTTCCTCAACAACCCCCACCTCACCCCACGGAAGCTCAGGCCCAGAGTCCCTGGGGAGGGCCCGACCTTATTACTTAGGCCTGTTCCCGTTGGCCAGGCAGGAAGTGTAGGGACTGGGGAAGGCAGAGCTGCTGTCCAGAGGGCCACACAGGAGAGGAAGCAGGGAGAGAGGAAGCGGGGCGTGTGCGGCAGGCTGCAGGAGGGAGCGGCCACAGCGTCCAGAGGTGAGAAGAGGCTAAGTGGACAAAGGGTGCTGCACCCCGGAGCTCTGGCTCTATCCTTCCCGTCTTTCAGTCCCACCCTGGCAAGTGCCTCAACCGAGCGGAGGCTGTTGCAGAGGAGCTGGACAGAGCCAGTTGCAGGAATCCAAGACCCTGTTTGGGGTCTCTCGCTCTCTTCCCCCTCCCCTACACATAGGCACAAATATCCTCTGGTAACTTGGTGTCCTCTTTTACCTCCTCCACCTCTCCCAGCCCAGCCGTTCTCCCAGACTGCCTTCAGCTAAGAGGCTACTCCAAGCTAATTGATCTCCCGGCTGTTGGCTAAAGTAATAGGGAATTGATGTAAGTAACTTAAGTGCCTCTGGGGGCCAAGCCGGAAGCAGAGGGCTGGAGAGGAGCAGAGCTTCCTTGGTGCCCAGCCAAACTCAAAACTCACTCCTAGGTGGCCCCTGTACCCTGTGCATCCACAAGATGGAAGGGAGGCCTGGGGAGGGATCGGGAACACTCCGATGTGGAGGAGGTTGTTTCTGAGTGTGCTTCAACTTTGGGGAAAACAATTGCAATTCTGAGGAGGATAGAGAGGGAGACTGAAGATTGGGAATGAGGAGCTGGGGTTGGGGGGTTCATTCCTGCAACAGACAGAGCCGCTTCGAAGGGCCAGCTCCTGTGCTGGGGCTGGGTGTGTGGTGAAAGGGAGACCGCAGCTCTGACCTCGGGGAACTTAGCCCTCCGGGTGGAATTCTACAATCTCCCCGGCCTGGCACCTGGTTATTCAGAATATTCCACTGCTAGGAGCGTGCAAGTGTCTC